AAGTATACTCCGGAATTTCCGCACAAGGAGAGCTCCTTGAACTGTGGCTTGCATGCTTGGCGTTAACTTTTATTGCCCTCTCCTGCGTATATTGGGTGTCCCTGCAGCTACGGTCAAGGCGGACTGTGATATACCCGGCGTTGGTGCAGTGACCTTGCATATTGAGGTAGTGGAGAAAGTAAGTGCCTTGTTTATTACTCATCTCACACCCTCTTTTTGCCTGTAGGGAGGCGAACAGCAATTTGGAGAAATGAATGCCTGGTTATAGATCAACGTCTGGATCAGTTCCAGCTGTGTTTGGCGTATCTGCGATTTCCCTGCAGGATATGAAAAATCACAGCTCCTTAGACCAAGCTTGGCGAAGGCTAATATCAGAAAACCCGTTTAGCATACGGGTTCCTGAGAGGGTTAGTCTTCGAGGCCTCCTGCGGCAATGGGGCGTTTAGCTACAGTTGGGACCATTGGCAAAGCGTTGTTGTGGGGTGGTAATGAAATTGCAGTTTACACGCGATTTGTTGGCAGTAACGGAAGAGATGAGCCTCACGGTCTCGGAGCACGCACAACGGTCAGGAAGTAAGTGGACCTGAAGCTTTGAGCAGGACGTGCTCGAGATGTTGTCTTCCACTTCACAACGTCTTGTTCGCAACTTGACCATCCGCTGAGCGTGCACAGTGTAGCGGCACACGTTGCTTTTTCAAGTGCGTTGCTGAGTTTTCAGGCGCGGAGGCCTGATTTGTTTGTGCTGCAGTGCCGACGGGCCGTACAGAGTTTTATTCTACAGTGCTAGAAAAGCCGGCTACTGCGGCGTGCACAGGCAAAGTTTCTCTGAAGATATATGGTGATCCTTCAGCTTGCTTGACGCTTCGGTTGCTTTGTTGCTTTGCACTGCTGCCTTTTGAAGTTTCCGTTGGCGCCTCGTCTAAAGCTAGCACGCAGTGCACGAGTTTTTGTCCAATATGACGCAGGGATCAAACAAGATGCGGAGGATAGCGCCGACCGCGAAGGAGAACAAGGGGAGCCGTGAAGAAATGTAGCGGTTCAAGCAGGCAATCGTGCCAGCGGCTTTTCTGCGAATGAGCTCGTTGACCCAGTGCCAACTCTTTAGCCGACTGTTGGAGACACTCCACCAGCATCTGCTTCAGATGTAGCAACTGCAGGAACTGGCGGAGGCACCAAGAGTGAAGCGGCAGAGTGCCTTGAAGGAGCGTCTAATGTCTTGCACAAGGGCAGTTCTGATATCTCATTACAGGGAAGACCGTAGTTTGGCCGATGAAAAGCCACAGACCCACCAGGCGAAGCGCCTGCGAAAGCTAGCGTGGGCAGTGAAAGCAAACAGACC